ACTTCGCCCACTGCCTCATCGCCTTTGAAAATGTCCACCGCAGTTGTAGACGAAACGTCAGGAAGAAATTCCGATAGACCACGGCTTCAAAGCCCGGAAAACATTCCTAAATGTAATCTGACCGGCCGTGAAAGCCCCATAGTCTGATAGATCTCTAGAAGCTTATAAGGCATTTTTTCACATTTGGAGTTTAAGTTCATATCAAATGTAGTTGAATAGGTGTTGAATATTTCACAAGGAATTTCTCAGAGATTTTTAAGATAAAAATTCTATTCAGACTTGAAAAATTAACTTTAATTTTTGACTTTTCGAAATAAATGTAGAAATAATATTGATATTGAAACGGAACTTTTATACAGGGTGTCCGTTTTTGGAGGTCAACCAGGGGATCTCGGTAACCATACTAGATACGATTTGGATACGAAATTGGGGCAAAGCTGCGCAGTCTAAAGCTTACTAAAATGTTCATTGAAAATTTTTAAAATTTCACTTTATATATTTAAAAAAAGCGACAATTTGGTCAATTTTAATAAAAGCTCTCTAAAAAAATGTGAAAATAGAATTTTTCTGAAAGCTTTGGTTTTTGAATTGCAAATATTTGAAATCAATCTGTATCATTGAATCGTTTAAATCGTCGAAACGAGATTTAAAGAGCCATTTAAATGAACTTCACTAAAACTGTAAAAAAATGTGAACACTATCAACTGAAGTTGAAGACATCCTGTAGAAAAGTGGGAAGTTGAAGCTGGTAGAAGAACGCTCTATCATTTTTTTTGTTGACAAAACATGTAAGTTTAGCTAATATGAACAAAAGTAAAGTTTTGAAGAAAGTGTGAAGAAAAATCATAATCATAATAATAAGATAGAGATTGGGATATCCAAAAGACCGATTTGAATAAAATCGTAGTAAGTTGTAGTCAGGAAACTTTTTCTGTTTGATAGTCAAAATGCATTTTTTTTAAACGCTGTGATTTTTGACCAGCGTATATTTGAAAACAGTCTGTTTCATACCGCTACAATTGAAAATCAATTTTGCCTCTGCAAATTGCCTATAAAATAAATGCGAAACTAAATTTTGAGAGCGATTTAAGCGAACATGCAAAACCTGTACAAAATGCACTATCAATTGCAGACGAACAAAAAAAAATTGGAAAGTTGACGAATTAATAATAGAAAAACGACCTGATATGTGCAATTAATTTTCAGAAAAATTTTCAAGAAAGTTTCAAGTGTCTGCCTGCTCTAGATTGGAAGTTGGGATGTTTTGAAGCAAAGAGTGTTTTTGGGCGAACACGCCCATTTTTATACCAACATTTGCAAGTCACCAAAAATCAGAGGTTATGTGAATTTGGCGGATATTTGCAGTATTTTGAGCTTCAACTGTCGTCTATGGACTGTGATAGTTTAAAGTGTCTGCTGGCTCTAGATTGGATGGTGGGATGTTTTGAAGCAAAGAGTGTTTTTGGGCAAACACGCCCATTTTTATACCAACATTTGCAAGTCACCAAAAATCAGGGGTTATGTGAATCTGGCGGATGTTTGCAGTATTTTGAGCTTCAACTGTCGTCTATGGACTGTGATAGTTTGAAGTGTCTGCTGGCTCTAGATTGGCAGTTGGGATTTTTTGAAGCAAAGAGTGTTTTTGGGCGAAAAGGCCCATTTTTAAACCAACATTTTCAAGTCACCAAAAATCAGGGATTATGGAAATTTAAGTAATATTTGCAGTAGTTTGAGCTTCAACTGTTGTCTATGGACTGTAAAAGTTTCAAGTGTCTGCTGGCTTTAAATTGGAAGTTGGAATTTTTTGAAGCAAAGTGTGTTTTTGGGCGAAAAGGTCCATTTTTATACCAACATTTCCAAGTCACCAAAAACCAGCGATTATGGGAATTTGGGTAATATTTGAAGTATTTTGAACTTCAACTATCTTCTATGGACTGTGAAAGTTTCAAGCGTCTGCTTGATGAATTCAATTTTTTAAAGCTAGTTTGGATTGTCACGATTGAATGTTCCAACATGTTCTTTCAAATCGTCAAAAGTCCTAAATATTTAGGAAAATACTACTAAGACGGGTTTGGGCTGAGAGCTTTGGAAGAAATCCTGCGGATTACTGGAAATTGCGTTCAAATTGTCACTTGTATGATTCATGGAGAAGGCGCAACTGCCACATACAACTTCCAGCCTTAGGTTCTTTCCGCTTTAGGTGCGAATGTGGCTCTAGATTTTAGACTCCAAAATCATGGCGCAAAAATATGTTCATTGCTTACTTAAAAATCTTCTAGACGTATCTCTAGAAGTTTATAACGTTTTTTTCATATTTAGACTTTAAGTTTATAGCAAATCTAGTTGAATAAGTGTTGAATATTGCACAAAGAATTTCTCAGATATTTTTATGATAAAAATGTTGAAATTATATTGATATTGAAACGAAACTTTTATACAGGGTGTCCGTTTTTGGAGCTCAACCATGGGGATCTCGGTAACCATACTAGATACGATTTAACTAATCAGTTAAATTGGGGCAAACCCGCGCAGGCTAGAGCTTACTAAAATGATTATTGAAAATTTAAAAAATTTCTGCTAGGGCCGGTGATATTCGGAAAAAAGTTTTTATTTTTCCTTAGCTTATTTGACGCGGAAATTGAAAATGAATAATACTACATCATTGCAACTTTTTCTCTTCTACAACTTGGCGATGTTGTATTGTAAAAAGCGACTTATGGATTCTTGACAACCATCATCAACATTGTTTTTTCTTATGAGCGCTATCTTGGATTTTTACATTTTTTTCTGATTGCGATGCAGTATCATATGTTAAGGTTCAGTCTTGCTGTTTCGTTAAAATAACAAAAATTTCGTTTTTGTACAGAGTGCTTTGGAATAACACCCACTCTTTTGTTTAATGAACAGATTTTAGACAGTTTCTGTATCTGTTTGAGTAGAGTAAAAAAAGGAAAAAAGTGTATCATAAATTTACATAGGATGAAACTAAACTTTGAGAAACCAGTAAATTATGAAAACTATAAGAGGTGCTCAAAGGGTTCACCTTCCACTTCCAAGCACAGATCTATGTTTCTTCTTCTTATTCTTTGGAAACACCCTATGGTCTGTTTATTTCGTCTGGTAAATGTTGCTTATTCTCCTGTGATATAGATGTCCAACTATCCTTCCATCTTTTCGGTAGTCTTCCGATGGGTCTTTCACCAGCTGGATTTCCATTCGACACAATCTTGGCTATTCTTTCGTAGGCCATTCTTTCTACATGGTCCCGCCAGCATATTCTGCGCTTTCGTCCCCATCTGATTACATCCTCCACCTTGCAGGTCTATTTTATTGTTGAGCTCCTCACTATATCCGGTAGTGTTTTTTCCCTCTGTTGACCTTAGCGTCTTCATCTCTGCCGTTCTTAACATACATTTTCTCTTCTACAGATCTATGGGTCTTCTTAAATTTTATAGTGATCTTAAAACGTTCCTTGTTCTAATTTTCGTCCTTAAGGTTGTGAAGATCTTCCTTCGCAGCATTAATATCGGTGGGTACAGATTTATAATTGTTGTTTTTCATAGTTCCCCATAAATATTAATCTAAAGGGAAAAGATCTGGTGATCGTGCCGCGTATGTGCCCCTGTTTGAAGATGACTCTGCCGGAAAATATTTCAGACAAATAATAAATAATAAATTTAGACTTATCTTTTAGACTTGGTTATTATCCTTTTCTTTATTTCTCGATTTTTATCAACAGTATTTCATCTTCTAACTGATCCAACGACTGGTTTGTATGTAACTCTTTTATATTAAGCAACCAACATCTTCTTGATTCAGTGAGTTTTAAGTGTAAACACATTCGAAAATCGTTCATTCCCTTTGCTTCTGCAGGATTTTAACATCTCCAAAGAACAACTGAACGTCCAGCCGCCTCAAAACTCGTCCCAATCGATGACAGCCGAAATAATGCGGACTCCCCTCGAGCTCTGCTCCTCATCGGTGGCCAACCACGCCCTACAGCACCAGTCAAAGTCGTACCCCGGAGGACCGCCACTCTTATGCAGAACCCCCAGCGCCTCCAGCCAAAGCAGTCTGGACAGCAGCACCTCTAAACAGGTAAAAGCTGCCGGAACGGTCCTATTCAGGGAAGAGATGTTCACAAGTTGCTAACGATTTAGGGCAGCAACAGAGGTTCTTCGCCTCAAATCCGCACATTTGCTCCCGATGGAAAGGCTCAGCAGGCTCATTTTCATCATGAGGCCACTCACACGTCCAGCTATCCGCTGCCCAGGGGATCAAGCCGGTCTCCATCGCCTCATCGGGCGGCTTCTCTGGATATTCGCTCCTCGTCGCCTGGATTTAGTCACATCAGCATGGATTTGCGCACCTCCTCACCTTCGCAGTCCAGCCTCACTTCACTCACAGGAGGGTCGGGCAGCAGCTGCAATTCCCCCGTTCCTGCAAGTCCTCGGAATGCCACTTTTTCCAGGTGTGTATCGTATGTTTTGTTCAATGTTTACCAGATCAAAAGTGGTGGAATCTGGATAGTCGGAAGGCCATTGGAGATGTTGATCTCCTTGAACTGGCAGCTTTCTAAGCAAAGTTTAGGAGATGTAGGACAGAAAGTTTTGGTCAAATCTTGTTCTTAAAGTTGCAGTCGCTCAAAAGCATCTCAGAGCAGGTTTGAAAATCTGGTAAACGTTGCAAAGGCATTTTTCATGTTAAGGGTTTCCTATTGCGTCTCAGTAATTATCGTTATGGTTAAGGCGGATTCTTTTCAAAATTTTGTTCTTGGATTCAAACTTGTTTTTGGACTTCAAATTTTTCTCAAAATTTTTGTTTTTGAAAAACACCGCATTTCCGTTCCTCACATCGTTTTAAGCGAGGAAAAAACTCTTTACAATAAAGAACAAATTCTTCATCAAAAGATCATCTTATACGGAATTTTTCCTGTTGTCAAAAAACATGTTTTATGGCTTCAGTTGACTGTTTTAGTTAAATACAGGGTGATTCATGGTCGATGGCGTATTAGACATTTAAGGAGAATGCGATGCCCAATCTATCTGCAAATTTGTACAACGAAGTCATCGGATATGCTCCATCGGTCTAAAATATTTTCAGCAATGCGAGGGTGCCACATTTTGGTCCAAATAATACAGGATGTCTTGAAAACACTGAGCTTTCGGCTAGAGATAAAAACTGCTCCAGTTACATTTTTTCAAATCGAACACCCTGTATATTAGTCCAAATACGGGAAGACCGTTAAATTCCCTGTGAAACGAATTATCATGTTTTTATACCTAAAGCGTTAAATTTCCGAAATAAATGAACATTTTTGGAAAAATTCGTTTTTTTTTCGGAAAGACGTATATTAATACAGGGTGTCTCATTTAAAATAGCAACGTTGTATGTACTTTTCGGTAGAAGCGGCAACGTCGCATTGCTGAAAATATTTTAGGCCTATAGAGCATATCCGGTGACTTTGACCATTTATCCATCGACCGTGAATCACTCTGTATATAGAAATATATTTAGATAGATATTCATATTAGAGATTTATTTAGTGACTTTTGCATTAAGGAATTTTGCAATTTTATGGTTTTCAATTTGTTTTCGAGTAATAAATTCTCCTTCATAAAACTTCAAATCTAAAACAGTTTTAGGTGAAAATCCGACCAATTTCACGCGGACTTTTTACGCTTCTTCTTCCTCTATTTCCAATAATTTTAAAGTTTCTTCACGAAACAAACATTCCGTTTTCACCAAGTCTTCGTTTCAATTGCAGATGCTTGTCGCCCCTCTTTATCCCATCATCGCGAGGAGTGATTCCAGACAGTTCCATGGCGGCTCCCCCAGCCAGTCCCTTAGGCGCCATCCAGCCCGACCTGTACCTGAAGAAGGACGGTCCGCTCTTCATCGGCGACCCCAACAAACAGGGAAGTTTAGGGCGACTGCACTTCCGCCTCAGCTACGACCTGAACCGATCCGACTTGGTGGTGCATCTAATCGAAGGTGAGCCCCAAAGGGATGCAGATGCAGGCGGATGTTTGAATGAGGAATTGTTTCAGCGCACGATTTAGCTGGAAGTGATCAGGGAGGATTCAACGATCCCTACGTGCGATTGTTCCTCACACCGGAAGTGGATAGCAGGAAAAGGCAGACCAGTATTCATCGGAATGATACCAATCCGGTGTTCAATGATATTTTCAAGTTTCCGGTTTCGCATGACGCGCTGCAGGCCATGTCGCTGCTGCTCCAGGTGTTTGACTACGACAAGTTTTCTCGGAATGATATCATTGGCGAGGTGAGTGAAAAGGCATTTGCAAATTTAAAAGATTTGGTCTGTTTCATCAAAAATATTCCGCGTTTCGTCGGTTTTTCCCAGCACAAAGCTTATAAAGCAAACTGTGTAGGTGACCATGCAGCTAGCAGATTACGACTGTACTCAAAGCATCGAAGTTTGGGCCGAAATCTCCAAGAACAAAAAACCGCCTGAAGAAGTTCAAGAAATGCTCTGCTCGCTCATGTATTTGCCCTCAGCTGAACGAATCACCCTGTCCATTGTCAAGGCTAGGAACCTGTTCAAACCCAGCGACAAACAGTTCATTGGTACGTGGGGAAACTGGGGCAGAAATCCTAATGGGAAAATCGGAAAACCTTTTCAGACCCTTTCATCAAAGTCTACCTCACCGCCAATGGAAAGCGCATCAAAAAGAAAAAGTCCAGCTGCAAGAAAGGTACATGCAATCCGGTCTGGAACGAGGCTCTGATTTTCAACATGCCATCCACCAATTTGCAGAGTTCGGAGTTTGAGGTGTGCAGCCTGGTAGATTTTCCCGGAAATTTCCGCATATTCTTCAATGTTTTTCCAGATTGGTGTATACGATCAAGGCAACGACCTGATGGGGAGCAACCCGCTGTTGGGGTGCTGCACTATTGGACCAAAGGCTGTCGGTACTGGCAAAGACCACTGGAATGATATGATCCATACTCCTAGAAAGGCCGTCTTTTGCTGGCATACTATCAGGTAAAACTAATTCAGTTAGACAAAAACATCCAGAAAAGGGCATCGGACGTCGTTTCTTTCAGAAGAATCCCGGAAAACGACCACGTGAAGTAAACAATCCAGGCGCAGGTAAAGTCAGTATTAAGCCTAAATCCCCAAACTAGGGGGAAGTACGCCTAAAATTTACTATGGTCCTAACAATGTTTTTAATTGTACTGTATTATCAGGGCATTTTTGTACTTTGCGCCCGCTATTGGGTCCTATTTTTTACAAGCTGAAATTCAATTCACTTAACAGTACCGGCAGCATTAATTAAGTCCAGGATAAACGCAAAATCGAATTCGGCAGGAATCAACCATCCGCTTACATCAGAAGCAACGTTCAGCTCATTTGTTCAAATCTGAGACAAACATTGACACGTTTTATATCAAAATGAAAATTTACTTATGAATAGTACGTAAGTTAACTTTTAAAAGACAATCATTTTCCTTGTGTTCCTGTTAGGCATGTTTTAAATGGTTTAAAGTCGGCAGTTTAATGGCGCATTGAGGTATCAGAGAATTGGGAATGTTTTATATTCCTGTTGGATGAAATTGAAGGCGTTGGGGCGAAGCTTAATAGTGGTAAAGGCTTTGGCAAATGCAACATTGGTAATTTTCTTTGTGAGGCATTTAATCTTTTCCTCAAAAAGGAGGGATTTTAAGCAAAAGTCAAGGGTAGAAATAGTTTAGAAATGAATCGGCCTTGCTCGGACCTGGTTCTTCCACAAAGTTAAAGTTTTAAGAAAAGTGCTCCTTTTCATCCACTTTTTAAGCGACTTGGATAATCAATCGACAACGAGTGGACTTAAGAAAAAAACTGTTGTTTGGTTAATTAATTAAAGCGTTTTCGTCCCATCCATTTCTAAATCGATTTGAAGTCAAATGGACTGTATGATGTACTTACGTAAAAAATTCAAGAGTGAGAATATTTCCTAAATGAATCAGTCTTGTTGGGACGTAATTCAGTTTTTGGAGTGGTTTTAGGCAAAAGCAGTCAAGAGTAAACATTACTTTCAAATTAATCAGTCTCACAGTTGAAAAATGATAATTTGAATAAAAAATCGCTAAAATCTTTCTTGTCATAAAATTCCTAGATGGCTTAAAATCGGACGATCTTTATCAATTTGTCGAAAAAAGCAAAATGGTTTAATCTGAAACAACAAAATATATTTTGATTGCATAGAAATAGACAAAAAATATTTCTGATATCTCAATCGCCTCATGTTCGGTCCTCAAAAGAACTGTGGTAGTTCTACGTTACATTGAAGGTACATTTGCTGGGTCTTTGATCCGCTAACGTACCACTTGCGATGTGGGCAAGCACAAGAATGTGGGATGCAAAGTTAGCTACCGAAATCCAGTAGATCTAGGTTGAAAAGATGAAAAGACACCTTGATTGAGTGTATATATACGTGTATAACCCACCTCAATTATCCGCCTCATACATATTGTTGCGAGTATCAGTTGAAATATCAAATGCGCTCATCGTCACTCCCGCAACAATTCTTATACGTTCCCTATTTATCATACCCATTACAAAAAAAACGCTTATTAATTATCAGATATATGATTATATACTATATATTTATAACAAAAATGATGTAATTTAAGTGTTGAATGTTATACTTCATGAGATGTTTTCGATGTTGTACCAATCCCAAGCGGATATGTTTATTACTCTTTTAATGTGTGGCTTTTCTTTCTAGAAAAGCCCGATATCACAAAATTATCTCAGCCTATAAACGAAACAAATCTTATGATAATCCCCTGTTCTCAAAAAGAAAGAAAACTATTTGAATAATCCAACGGGACGTTATTCCGAATTAATATAAATTGTTTATATTATATGAACAAAACGCGAAAGTAGGCACGGACATATAAGTATATACATATTAAATGTGAATGTTACATACATTCAAAGAGACTATATTTTATTTTTTAAGATTTAAAGTAGGTAGAATGGTGTATTTTATGTGTTATATATTAATTTAAAATATAAACGTGAAGAAATTATTTTAAATTGGACTTTTAATGTTTTTGTATTGCTGGAATTGAAAGTACTGTAGAAGTTTATGCGCGAGCGAAATTTAAAGTGTGAATACGAATTCAATGTGAGGATCTCGAACTGGAAAAAGGTGATTAAGGGAGTGCATTGTGCAAGTATTTAGGAGCCATCTTTAATAAAGAGGAACTTAGCAAGGATGAAGTGAGAGGTAGGCAAAATTGCTTCTTAGATTTGTTGAAGGTGTTATTTATTTATTATCTTCGTGATCTATTTTATTGGTTTTTCCGAAAACGAACGATTCTATGGGATATGGGATTATATAGAACAGAATGGATAATTTGAAGAAACCATTAAAATTTGTGATATATTTAACTTGTTTATGAATGAATCTAAAAAAGCAAAACTATCGAGGAAAACTACAATTTATTTTTTAAATATTAGGAAAAAGCCATAATGTTTATGTGACCCGTCTCTTTCTAATACACACTTCAGGGCCAATGCCCTATTTCACTTATACAGTAAGCGATCTTTGCGAAACCTATATACTATTTTTCTTTTGAGTATAAACATCTAGCATTGTTTTTTGTAAGTAAATCGGCTCGATATTTGCGTAATTTAGCCAATTTATAAACTTTTAGGGGCTGATAAACTGATTCTCATTGGCAACCTCTCACGACAGCGCAAAAACCAATAAAAGATTAAAAATGAAAAATAGCACACATAGTTACAATCTATGATAAGATTTGCTTGTTTACAAAGCGTTTCGTTCGATTCGTTTTATTTTTAATATGTCCTGCACCAGTTGGCAATGCCGCACGCCGCCGTTGTTTGAAGTTTTTAAACAGTTGACATTTGTGGTTAGTCATATTCATACTTGTCTTTATCTATAGTCATATTTGTGTGTGTTTTCTGGGGCGTTTTGCATTGGTAATTTTCGGCTTTTTGAGCCCAAAAGTATGTGTATGAACTAAAAAGTGATCAGAATTATTACATTCAAATTTACCACTAAATTACGCGAGTGGTTTTCGTGTGGAACGGAAAATTTGACCTAATTTTGCTGCGGATTGCTGTTTACACATTAACTTCCTGTTTATTTAATCAAAATTTCCGAGCAGGAACCGCCCGAAATGCCCCCTGTGGAAGTGGAAAATCACGGAGTAAGTAAACTACACAGTTGTTCTAAGCAGCAAATGGAACCAGGCCTGCCTTGTACAGCTTTGATATCTCATTAGCCCACTTTTCCTTTAAAGGAATCTGATTACATTCCTTAGATTTGTTGGCTAATTGTGCAAAAGCCACTACATTAGCAGCTTGGTGATTAAACCGTCTGCACTAAAATTAAAAGTTTTTCCTCAAACAAACAATACAATGGTCGTTGTGCTTCCTTTGTTAAAGCTCGAGGAACAGATCAGGAACTTGACCTTAGCAGGTCATGTGGGCTTTGATAGTCTTCCAGACCAGTTGGTATCGAAAAGCGTCCAGAATGGCTTCATTTTCAACATCATGTGCATAGGTAATGGTAGAGTGAGCTAATAATTCCGCAGTTACAAGAATGTTTGAACATTAGGTGAGACTGGCTTAGGTAAGTCCACCCTGATGGACTCTTTATTTAATACAAACTTCGAGTCCAATCCCAGCCCTCACACTCTACCAACTGTGAAGCTGAATGGGCACACTTATGAGCTTCAAGAGAGCAACGTCAGACTAAAGGTAACGAAGATAAAAACCTCGAAGCCTCACACTCTAACATTTTTGTTTCACATTCAGTTGACTATTGTGGACACTGTGGGTTATGGAGACCAAATAAACAAAGAGGACAGCTTTAAGGCCATAGTAAAGTACATCGACGACCAGTTTGAGAACTATCTGCAAGAGGAACTGAAGATTAAGAGGTCCTTGTCGTCTTTCCATGACACCCGCATCCACGTCTGCTTGTACTTCATCTGCCCAACTGGTAAAAAAGCTGGCTAACGCCGAAGGAATAAACTGACTCTTCTGCATTGTTTCAGGGCACGGCTTGAAGTCGATCGATCTGGTATGCATGAAAAAGCTGGATCAGAAAGTCAACATCATTCCTATCATCGCCAAAGCCGACACCATCTCAAAGACCGAGCTGCAGAAGTTCAAGTCGAAAATAATGGCAGAACTGCAGAACAATGGGGTTCACATCTATGAGTTTCCAGTTGATGATGAAACCGTATCTGAGATAAATTCGTCAATGAATTCACACATTCCATTCGCTGTAATTGGGAGCACTGATTTTGTGAAAGTCGGCAGCAAAGTAGGTTCAACTGTCCGTTCGTTCGCCTTTAAGTCTAACAATGTTCTTTGGTTGCGTACAGCTGGTTAGAGCGAGACAGTATCCATGGGGGACCGTCCAAGTGGAAAACGAGACTCACTGCGACTTTGTAAAGCTGCGTGAGATGCTGATTAGGACCAACATGGAAGATATGCGGGAGAAGACGCACAACAGGCACTACGAACTCTACAGGTATGGCTTTTTTATGTTGAAATGTCTGAAGAACCATTTTAGCCATAAAGCTAAGTTTATGGTTAAAGAACCGTTCTGATAGCTTCTAAACCTAGAGTATAGAAAGTCTATGATTAGTAGGTACGCACATAGACGGGTCATTTAACTAAATAAAATTGCTCGTTTTTTGTCGTTCAAATAAAGTGAATTTTAATTCGTAGCAATTTTTGTTTCAGGAAAAAACGATTAGAACAAATGGGGTTCTCCGACGTGGATGCCAACAACAAACCAATCAGCTTCCAGGAGACTTTTGAAGTGAAACGCACCAATCACCTGCAGGAATTGCAGCAAAAGGAGGACGAAATGAGGCAGATGTTCGTTGTGCGGGTAAAGGAAAAGGAGGCCGAGCTGAAGGAAGCCGAGAAAGAGGTGGGAGAACCAGCAAAATGCATACAACTGTACATAATGTAATAAAACGGTATTAGTTGCATGCCAAGTTCGACAAGCTGAAAAAAGACCACACGGAGGAAAAGAAGAAAATCGAGGACTCCAGAAAAAAGCTGGAAGATGAAGTGGTCGAGTTCAACAGGAGGAAGGCGCAGTACCAGCAAATGGGGTCGAGCAGCCACCACACTCTCACCTTGGGCAAAAGTAAGAAGAAATGAACCGGTAACTAAAGCGCTTGCTTCACTTTTTGTTTTAACCGCATATCGCACCGTTCTTTTCCTTTAAACTCTAGATATTTCGCCAAAATACATATATTTAAACGCACTACTGCACAGTGTGCTTTTATTGTGTTATTGTGTTACAAATTGAGCATCTGTGTAATATCGAGTAAACATGCTCGTTTTAGCAATTTTAAGCGAAATCTACATCCTTCAGTGATTGTTTTATTTTGAACAAATATGGGTTTTTGACCATTTTTATGCCGCCCCAGAATGCGAGTTTATAGATTATTGTCAACAAGTGACAGCAGCTAGAGTTTGTTGAAGCTGCTGAGTTCTAAGTTTAGTGCTTTTTTTACTTTTATACAAATATTTTTTGTTGTGTAACTCAAAACTACGTTGAGAATAAATGTAGGTGGAACAGAGTAGTTTGTTTTAACTGCTCCGCATACTATGGCATTAAACGGAAGTTTCTACCGGTCGTACCAATGGCGCAAACCGTTTATAATACGTAAACTTTCGGGATAGGTTTTGCACCTTTTCAAACCTTTGCGCCTTCACCGGTTGTTTCTTGGTGTCTTTGGAACGATCCTGCAAAAAAGTCCTTATTACTAGCTGGAGGGGTGTTTGTACATACACTATATGTGGGTGATAGTGCGCTATTCTCAGCCAAGCTAGATTTGTGCCTCCCTTTGCAGATTAACCTCGCATGTTTTCGCACGTTTTACAGTTGAACATAAACTAAAGTCGTTTTTCGTTCTTCTAGGGTTTCGCTGCTTTTTCTCCATCCTCGTTCTGATTTTTAACAAAAACTATGCTCGCCACCTTTAGCCCTTTAAAACCCAGATTGAGTGAGAGTTTTTCTTCTTTTCAGAAGTCATGCATAAGTTTATATAACTATCAACAACCCTGCGATCTGCTAGATTTCATTTACGTCGAGATTATGCAGGTATATTCGCTAGGTTTAGAGCTAGAATGCGATTGTTTTGCAATTTTACTAAACAGTACAAAGTTTAAGTCGATTTGTTAGGAACAACTGAGTGGTTTTCCAATGATTAAACTGGCCAATGCGCTTGTTTAGCTGTTTAATTGTAGAAAAATATGTACAAAAGTTCATTAAACATCTAAATTAGTCCGTGACGATCGTGTTAGCATTATTGACGAATCAAATTGCTGATGGACACGCTTGTGGAAAACAATATAACTCTCTTAGTACTAGTTGTAGTTGCTATTATTACTAGAAATTTGCACTATATGGTTTCGAAAGGTTGGTTCTGAACAGTTCATGAATTTTTCACCGATATACCGAGTATACAGTCAGCAGCGCTAAAGCCTAGCGAATCGACGATAAAATACTTAATAGTAAAGTTGATGAAGAAAATGGCTGGAAAATGTTTGATTGTTCGTATAAATTGTTATAACAATTAATCCGGGGCCGTTTCCTCCAGGACTTGTTTATATCAAATATATATATATATATATATATGTACATTGTTTATATAAAAAAAAGGTCCATTTGGCAGCTGAGCAGCTTAGAAAAAGAATTGCAAGAGTAAGATGTGTGTCGTAGCCCGGCAAGTTGTGAATGTAACATTTAAGTTGAAGATGGCTGTGTTTTCGAAACGTAACGGTTGTTTCGAACCTTTCAGTATTTTAAGCCGAATAAGAAATTGGCAAATTTCGAGCTTTCACTAAAACAATGTGTTGATTCAAAGAATTGCCAGTAACTTGTTTTCTGTTTACTTCGGGTAAATGCAGCCTTTTTATTAACCATTAACCCTTATTCTTAGGCAAACAGGAACTTGAATAATTTCCACCACATTGACCCGAAAGAGTGTGTGCACTAAAGTTTGCCAGTTACGTCCCTCAGTAACCGAGTTAGAAATCTCAAAGTATTTCGCAACCATTTCGGGCGCCAACTCACTCTCAACTCGCTAGGCCTTAACATATATCGGCCACCCAGTACCATATTTAACAGGCTTAGCACAGTGTAGTGTAGGCATTTGAACTTGCTTATTTGTACCACCAGGCCAAAACCGTTTTTTGGCCGCTCGGTATAATGCCTGACCCGTAGATCGCTTGCACGTCCCCAATTTCTTAGTATGTGAGTTTTTTCACTAATTCAGGACCGGTCCTCGGATTAGATTAAGCATTAGTGCACTCGACCAGCTCGTTTGGATTAAAGCCGCAGTGCATTCAAGTGCATAATGCCGAACTACTAGAAGCAAATGTGAATGTTCCAATGCAGTTTTCACCAAAAAGTCCAGTCGGGGTGAAAACGTGAAGTGTGAACTTTGGCAAGAGCGTGCGTGCGGATCAGCGAGTGACTGATTCGCGAGCCTCCCGTGGTGGAGGGCTCCTGTACTTGGCTCGGATGTGCAGATATTTGGACGCGTCCCGGTCGGGACTGTCCCGACTGACCACTTTCACCTGGCAGGGGTCGTGGCGCAGCAGAAAGTGATCCAGCGTGTCCCAGCCGCCCCCCACTCGGACCATCATGTGCCTGCCTTTGAGCAGCTGAAAAGAATCGAGTGAGGAAACGAGGATGAAACCCGCAGCTTTCTTACCCTGATGAAGACGTTTTTGCCGGCAATGTTGTACTTGCCCTCGCCCACTTTGCGCACCCGCAGCTTGTCGCATTTGCCGCTGGCGCAGTTGCAGTTGCGCTGCATCAGACGGGCGGCCAGCTGCACCTTGCGGTCCAATTCCGTTGTCATGCCCTGGCTTGGGGCGTCGCCGCCACCTAAGCATGCGCCGTTACTAACCCAGGTCTCCAATTCGCCTAGTAGCTGACCTTTTATGTCTCTTGGTTTCCTCGCGGAGTCCACCATGTCCAAGTCTGGGTCTTCCGGGCTCCCTCCCGACCATTCGTCGTCCTCAGTGTTGTCGCTGGGCACCCCGTCGCTGGCGCCGCTGGTTTTTATCGTTGGCATTGAGTTCAGAGTGTCGCCATCTCCTGTAAAAGCACCTATGTCACACCTGGATGCTTATAAGTGTGAGGATGAAGTACCTGAAGCTTGAAGATCGGCCTTGATGAGAAGAACGTGCGGGCCGGTGCTCCAGCTGTCCGCGTAATGGGAGATGGCCGAAGTGGATCTGGAACATTCACCGATTAGAGCTAGTGAGGGATTTCTGATTAATGCGGACCTGCTGTGACTCATCTTCAGGTCGGAGGCGTCGAGGCGAGGAGGGCTGGTTTGGAATTGCCACGAAAGCAACGAGCTCAGCCCGGAGTCGCCCGATTGGTGCCTCTCCTCCTCGGCGATCTCCTTCTCCAGCTGCACCAACCCAGGCGGCTCGATTCCGTATTTAGTAGCTATTCTAGCTACTTCCAAGAGGCACAGAATGACACTACGGGGCTGATTGTGCAGAACTAAAGACCAAGCCAGCTTTTTACCCAAAGACCCAAATACAACTTATCTGCCCTACCTAAGTCGTCGCTTTCAAACAGCAGATTCTCGTGCACGCCCAAAGAGCGACAAAACTTGAGGAAATTAGCCACGTTGTCTCGGGAGAAAAAACTGCGCCGCATGGCCTTTTCGAAGCACTTGCCTCGAACGTTCGGTATATTCTGGAGCAAATAAAGGTTTTCTAGAAACTGATCCACTTGGGCAATGCTTGTGGCATCGCCAACCACTGTGATGGAGCGGACGGCGCGGACGTCCTTTGCTCCACTTGTTAACAGTTTGTTTTTTCTTAGTGAAACCTTACCATTTTCCCCAAACCGGAACTAGCAGTCCTTCGGGCAGTATCGCAGATGAGCTGTGCCAAATGGCAGATGACCACGCCATTGTCCAGTTCCGTGAGAAAATTGTCCCGATTGATGTAATCCGTTCCTGGAATTGAAGTTGAAGAAAACCATTAAATAGTCGAGTTCCAAGTGTTTTTAGTGTTTAAGTGGCTGCCAGAATTGAATAAACGCAGCTGAAATGAATTGAATTAGTGTGTTGAGGCCCGGGTTGCCTGACCTCAACGCATTAGTCCAGTTTATTTATTTACATTTGAATGCCGTTAAAAAGTCGCTTAAACAATCAATGCTGATCTAATTAGGGCATCAAACAGCCAGAGCGAGGATTAATTGGATTAGCCTGGATTTCAATGAGTTTCAATGAAATGTAATGCTTTTTTCACTTGGACCATATCAACTTCCTCCCAAATTAAATATCGTATTTACAATTTCTTCCACTAAATTTGGCCGAGTTGCTTGAAGATATGCGACTAGCAATGTGCTTTATGCAAAATGTCACTTTTTCAAATCGTTGAATTGGCCACTCAGAAGTCCGTACTTTAATCCTCTGGACTTTTGAATTTCGTCTCCCATGAAAGATAGAGTTTACAAAGATTCTAATGGTTCGCGGGAAGAATTGTGGCTGGCAAAGAATACAAGTCGCTGCCGTGCCAATATGTTGTTCCGAAACTCAGAAAACGCTGTGTAAAGTGTATCAGTGTCAATGCGGTCATTTCGAACAGTTACTTTATGTAATTACGAATTTTACATGGTGTAGTATTTGAAGTACATGACTTGTTGCATTTTTACTGTAGCGTGTTATTAAAACTAGCCTTTGATCGAGCAATTTTATAGTCAGAGAGAGTCAGATATACAGGGTGATTCAAAATTGGCGTCATTCCTTTTAAGGGATGATAAAGGCTCACTTGGGGAGTACGAGAAACATATTGGAAAAATATTTTTCCAAAATTTCTAGCAGATATTAACAGTTGAAGATCGAATTTCAACTTTGTTATTAAGCATTATTTTGAAATTTTTCCATGTTTAATTGGTAGCATACTGGAATACTTAAGTATTCGAAAAGAAAAATTACGATCTTTGCATCAAATTACGAAAAATTTTTATATCAAAAAAGTTCTCTTTTACAATTTTTTGATGGAAAGTTACAGTGGCAATGATGTTTTTTCTCATTAACAGATAGTTACAGGTGGTGAGCCCTTGTCAATAATCAATAATTTGTCAAACTGTGACTTACTTTGAATTTCCTTTTACGAATTTGCGGATATGCGATTAGTTCAGGGGAAATGCTACTGTAACATAGCAGAAGCTGAAAGATCTCACGCCAACAAAGGGTCGAGGAGAGTGATTCCAGGAAGATAGTGGACGACAATCGATTTTCGGGTTCCAGACACAGAGGAACAAGTATTGGACATAATCGAATCAGGGCTTTCCAGGGGCACTCAGAGCACAATAACTGACACTTTCCCAAGCACCAAATAAATACCGAGGAAGAGCTACATTCCTACCACGTTTGTACGATACACACAGCGCAAGGACATACAAATGGAGCAAGTGTTAATTAACTGAATACGAGAAGCTGCTTGATAATAGTGGATAATAAGGAGATTACACAGCTTGTTTGGAGTTAACCATTCAAATGTTTGATGTTGTATGGTTTATTTGTAAACACCAATTCGAGGTTATGAGAACAGATTGGCATTTCGAACGAGTCAACGAATCTTGTTGAATTTACCGTTTATCCTTGTCTATCTTATTGTCACTATGTATAATTCCATGGTTACCGGCGTTTTAAATAATTACGAAGCAACAGGTATTTGCGCAATGTTAATTAGGCAGATTACCTTGAAAAACATTTCTGCCGTATCTCTGATATAGTTTTTTGCAAATTTCTCAGTTTTTGATAACAATGAATTTTTTTTACTATTTTTTCTGTACTCCTAAAACAGTCCCCTCCAGACAGACAACACCTCCAGAGGAATGACACCAATTTTGAATCACCCTGTATTTTCAGAATAATGGCAAAAAACACTAAAATTACGACTTTTAACAGCCTGTATTTCCGAAAAGTTCAACTTTCAGTTAAGACATTCTTGCGCAATTTGACCTGTAGTATCTCCAGTGTCTGCATTTTTATTCCATTCTATTGGGACTGAATCACCCTGTATATACCTTGAAACGACACCCTGTAGAGGTCATTGTGATTGGCGCATTATACCTAGAAGAGTTTCCTACTGATTAGGGACCAGTCGGCCTCGCCCACCCACATAATTGACGCCAAATAGCGAAAGAAGACGGTAATCTGCCCATTATTGGCGTTTTAGTGCCCAATCACGTTTTGTCCCAATTTCTTATCGGATTAATGGGATAAGAAAGTGGTTCTTATTCGTGGCGAAGTTCGATCTTCCTCGGCGGCCTAGTCGTGACCGTAAACGACGCAGAAAGAAAACCGACAATTAACCAATTTAATTAAAATCCTCCCATAAATTAACTACTGTTGATTTTAATGCAGTTTTTCGCGAATTAATCAGGTAAACTGATCTAAAAATCACAAAGAAATTGGGCTTGACGTCTTATTTTGGTACTCTCAGTCACTGGCAAGGATCGAGTGGGCGTAGCTTCGCGGTAAAGTTGTTGCGTCAGTTGGTACTGAGACTCCAGAAAATGCAGTAGAGAAATATACAGGGTGATTAAAATTGACGTCATTCCTCTGGAGGTGTTGTCTGGCGGTGTTTTAGGAGTACAGAAAAAATAGTTGAAAAAATTAATTGTCATTAAAAACTGATAAATTTGCAAAAAACTATATTAGAAAAACGGCAACAATGTTTTTCAAGGTAATCTGCCTAATTAACAATTAAACTCGGTAACCATGGATAAATAGGGAAAGTGACAATAAGATAGACGAGGATAAACAGTAAATTCAACAGGAATCATTGAATGACGGAACCTGTTTCGAAATGTCAATTATTGCCCTCATAACCTCGAATTATTAATTTGTTTACAAATTACAGAAACATACATTTGATTCTGTAACTCAGTAATTTTTCTAAAATTATTTACGAAAATACCACTTAAGCTTGACTTGAATTGGTACCATTTCACAGAAAGTTTTTCTCTGAAACTCCTGAATGTTTCATTTTAATGCCAAATTCGTGCGTATTTTGAAAAAAATCAAATCTGTAACCGCATGTGGGTCTTGTATTTACGGCTCAATAGCAATGGAAACATTCACACACATTTTCAGAATGTTGTTACGGGATAATTAGCCAAGTGAATCGCTCATTTTTGCAGAATTCTGAGGAGAAACACTTGCTCTGGAACTTTTGAAGGTTTCATTTTAATTTTAAATTCATGTGGATTTTGCGAAACATTCAAATCTGTTATTGTGCGTAATTGCGGTTTGATAGAATCTGCAACCAATCTTTTTTAAATTAATTTGAGAAAACCAGCCGAGTTTCAAATATGTGATTAAAAAAATGTAGTTGAGATTCGGTAGAAGTGGCTTCACTTTTTTTTAATTAATTACGTGAAAACTAGCCAAGCAAGAGCGCTCATTTTGACAACATTCTGAGGAGGAATTTTTGCATTAAAACACCTAAAAGCTTCATTTTAAAGACAAATTCATGCGACTTTTCAGAAAGTTTCAAATTTCTGACTGGAAAAATGTGGTTGGGATTCGACATAAATTGCATCCAATTTTCAAAAAAATAATTTCGAGAAGCAAGAGCGTTAATTCTTACAGCATTATGAGGAGAAACTCTTGCTTTAAAACATCTGAAAGTATCATTTTAATACTAAAATCATGTGAGTTTTGAGAAAGTTTGGAATATGTGACTGGAAAAATGCAGTTGAGCTTCGATAGATTTTTCATTCAAATTTTAAAAAATTAATTACGGAAAAACTAGATAAGCTAGAACGCAATTTTTTTAGCATTGTGATGCGTCATTTTAAAGCCAAATTCGTGCGAGTTTCAAATGTGTTCAAAAGTGTTGTTGCGCTCTGAGAGAATTTGCATCCAATTTTGCAAAAATTATTTACGGGGAACCTAGCTAAGCTATAGAAAGTATTCTGGCACCATTTTGAACAGAAAATGTTTCTATGATACACCGAAAGGTTTCGTCTTAATGCCAAATTCATGCGAATTTTGCAAACTTTTGAAATCTGTACCCGAAAGTGCGTATTTATGGTTCAATAGCATTTACATTCAAATTTTCAGAAATTAATTACGTGATAACTAGCGAAGTGGATCGCAAATTTTTGCAGAATTCTGAGGAGAATTTCTTGCTCTAGAACTTTTGAAGGTTTCATTTTAATGCCAAGTTCAGCGAATTTTGAGAAAAATTCAAATCTGTAACTGCAAATTTACAAAAATTAATATTGGCGCTATTTTGAGGCGGAAACTTTGATCCAAAACACCTGAAAGTTTCATATTTGTGATATCTAGTTCTCCACAAACTAATTTGCGTAAACTAACCAAGCTGGAAGTCTAATTTTGGCACGATTTTGACGTGGAAGTTTTGCTCTAAAACACCTAAAATGTTTATGTCACCTGAATTTGTGCTGGTTTTGAAAAAGTTTAAAGTATATGACTGGAAAAATATACTTGAGCGTCGGTAGAATTTCTATTCGAAACTTCAAAACTTATTTACGGGATAATTAGCCAAGTAGAATCCCTCATCTCTCAGAATTATGAGAAAAAGTTCTTGCTCTAAAACACCAAACGGTTTTATTTTAATAGAAAATTCATGTGGATTTTGAGAGAAATTCAAATCTGTAACTGCAAGAGCGTAATTGCGATTCCACACCTGAAAGCTTCATTATCGTGGAAATTTCTTGCGAGTTTTGCGAAAGTTTCAAATATGTGACTGAAAAAGTGTAGTTAAGGTTTCGTAGTTGCGTTCAAATTTAAAAAAATTAATTACGAGGAAACTAGCCAAACTAGATGGTTAATTTTTGCAGAATTTTGAGGAGAACCTTTTGCTCTAACATCCTAAAAATGTCGATTTCTGTGAGTGCGTATTTGCAGTTTTGCCGACTTCATGTGATTCTGAGAAAAATTTAAGTCTATCTGCAAGTGCGTATTTGCAGTTT